AAAATTTTAAAAAACAGGGGGGGTGCCCCCCCCCCCCTTCCATCTTATTTGCATCCTTGGGTGTGGGTGTCAATGAGGATGTTGATCTTCGCCTCATACTCGCATCCTACTCACACTCTCAAGAGATGGTGTTTTTGAAACGGTCGACGAGGACGAGACACGATGAATGAAGTTACTTTGTGCGATACGAATTATGTGCACAACCGAGAAGAGAAACAAGAAGCATTGCTCTTGAACGCAAACCGGTCGGTGAGATTAAAAACGAACTAACACAGGCCATTCATAATAATATCTATTTTCAATTCACCAAGTGACCGTAGGATGAGAAGAAAGGTTTTAAGGTTCCTTTTGCGAAAATGTGATGCAGCAAAATTCGAGTGTTTATGGTCTAAATTTCTTTTTCCTAGAATCTGTTTTTCGAGATATTATTTTTTCGGCAGTATCAAAAAATCCAGCTATTTGATAAATGTCTTCAGTATCAAGTGCGTGAGGACGTAATTGAATAAGTTATTTGTGACTGCTAAGCTTATTCTTTCTCAAATATTGTTTGATGAAGTGAAGATTCCGTCTACATGGTCAACAGTGTTTGTAAAATTGTTACCTAAATTCCTTTAATAGTAAGTCCAATGTCAGGCATTCTACGTATTTTACAGAAGTAGTGTGTTGAAATAAATTACTCACACTTAATTGTAGCCAAAAAGAGCATTAGAGTTATGCTCTTGTATTCGTTAGGAACCATATATCAATCCTAGCAGATGTCCTTATAAGGAATCACATAAATATTTTTGTAATGCAGTTATAATGCGATCTAAGCAAGTGTTGATAAACATGAAAATAAAAGTTTCTGTTGTGCTTATCTAGCTTTTTCGAGTTTTTTTTTCACAGACGAATATCACATAAAACTATGGAGTACGAAATTTATTAAGAGCAAAGCTTGGATTTTTACATTAGCTAACCAATATTTAATTCACCAAGAAAACTCAAGATTCCTTTGTCTTAATAATAAATATGTGTATTATCAACATTTTTCACCTTGCATTGTGAATCGAATATAAGTATACCGGAAATAGTTCTTTATTGCGCACAAATACTTTATGTTCGTTGTCTTTATTGAAGTAATATAACCAATTACTATCTAAGCGAAATCAATATACCTTTTGCAAGTGAACATTTCATTATTCTTTCTATGCTACTGAATTTTCATTAGAGAGATAATATTCGATATCTTTCCATAGACCATTGCGTTTAAAAGTCCTGTTATTTAAAATTTATTACCAGAAAAATTGTTCATGTTGTTAATTTAAACATAGACTATTGTGAATCCTACCCAATAAAAAGTGGTAATGAGATATAGGTTACCATATTTTTTTTTTTGCTAATAACTGACGACCACTTTCATGGTCCTTACAGTACACAAGTTAAAGTAGAAATAAATAAAAGATGAATAAAGTGAAATCAAGAGAAAAAGTGTAGAAAGAACAAATAAGGATACCGTTGGTAATAAAAACAAAAAGAGATGAGTTACAAATGTTTTATGGATAAGCCTGTTTTTAGAAAGTTTCTGGGAACTCATATAAAGTGACGACTTCTTCCAGCTCATAGTTGATATTAGAATCATACGAGGGGATATTTGCGCACCAGGAAGTACATTTCTCAAGAAGTGATGTGTGTTCGACATATCTCTTAGACCGATGAATACCATTTATCCTACGCTCACCGCGCAACCAATTTTCTCGTATTATAGGTTACCATATTTAACCGATATTTGCACTGGTTGCTGGTGTCGTAGTTGTAACAGTAGTATCGACGGTGGTCTGAATATCAATGATAGTAGTACTAGTTGTAGTTGAAGGCGTTGTTTGTGTACTTGTTGTCGTTGAAGGAGCTGTTTGTGTACTTGTTGTCGTTGAAGGAGCTGTTTGTGTACTTGTTGTCGTTGAAGGAGCTGTTTGTGTACTTGTTGTCGTTGAAGGAGCTGTTTGTGTACTTGTTGTCGTTGAAGGAGCTGTTTGTGTACTTGTTGTCGTTGAAGGAGCTGTTTGTGTACTTGTTGTCGTTGAAGGAGCTGTTTGTGTACTTGTTGTCGTTGAAGGAGCTGTTTGTGTACTTGTTGTCGTTGAAGGAGCTGTTTGTGTACTTGTTGTCGTTGAAGGAGCTGTTTGTGTACTTGTTGTCGTTGAAGGAGCTGTTTGTGTACTTGTTGTCGTTGAAGGAGCTGTTGGTGTACTTGTTGTCGTTGAAGGAGCGGTTTGTGTACTTGTTGTCGTTGAAGGAGCTGTTTGTGTACTTGTTGTCGTTGAAGGAGCTGTTTGTGTACTTGTTGTTGTAGTGCTTTCTGATAACAGAAATCCATATTCTTCTGCCGCAATTTGTATCGCAATCTGTGCCGCAGCATTTACATTTTCTTTTAACGACCCAGCAACACTTGGTTGAGCTTTTACTGAATCTGAAGTAACGTCCACTTTGGTAGATGCTTCAACTATTGACAAAGCGGCATTGAACGAACTTTTACGAGTGCTTGGTTCGCCACATTGGGTAAGCACAGTTACAGGTGTTTCCAAGTCTTGCAGCGCGTCGCGTATCGCTTGAATTTGAATAGATTCACCATTTTTGACTACGAAGTAGAGGAACACTTCTGAGGATAAAATGGTTGATTGAGCAGCTGCATTATTGGTTGCATTACAATGAGTAGTATTGTTGTTAGTGTCAATTGTTGTTGTTGTTGCTTTTGCAGTTGAAGATGTAGACATTGTTTCGGTATGTGCTATTACTGCAGCTTTTGTTGCAGTAGTTGTTGTTGTTGTTGTTGTTGTTGTTGCTCTTGGTGTTGTACTTGAAGAAGGCGAGGAAGTGTGTGGATCTGAATTATAATTGTCGTCGTATTTTTTGAAGAATCTCCTTTTACTACGAGAGCGTCTTTTACGGCTTGATGTGATTTTTAGTGTTGGCGGAAAAGATACGATTTCAAGATGTGCAAAATTTTCACCGAATTTCGCTGTCAAAACAGTTTCGACATCGTTATTAAATAATGTTAGTGTTGTTAGCACATCATAGAACAGGGGTAGTTCTATTAATTCAAGATATCGATTCAAAACAATAGTTGCTTGAGATTTAAGTACAACTTCAGTGTTTTGAAATTCTGCAATTTGTTTACTTACGATTGTACCAACGACAATACCAGATGTTACGACACCAACACCTGTAGCTACCGACATAATCATCATGACGATTCTCATAAATATTGTTGGATCATTGATGATCATCAACATCTTTACAAAGTTTTAAGAAAAATCGACAGTTATGTTAGCATATTATTTGACAAACATATAAATAATGATCAAATAGAGACGAAGACATGCTTTTTATACGGATAAGTATCAAGTAATACATATATTTAAATATGACTGACAAATAATAAGTTTAAGATGAAAAAAAAAGAAGGTAATGACGAAAGCACTCCTATAGCACGTCACTGATTGAATCTAAGAGAAGAAAACAAATCATTGAATATAAAGCGTTGTCTAATCAATTTATTTCATGCAATAAAACAAAAGTGTTTTTGCTTATTACATCGTTTAGTTATCAAATATTATGTGTCATGCATTTTTGAAAAACAAATTTTCTTGTATTTATTTCTATAGCGCTAAGGTTTTTTTCTAAACGATTTCTTGAGGCGAAAATAATACAAAATCATCTACCTTACAATATGGTTTTACTAATAGAAGTACGTTTCGTAAATAAATTATCAGTGCTCTCAAACAAATTAAAGGAACAACTTTTAGAAGAGAAAAAATAATTTGTTTTACGATAGAAATCTTTCTAATTATTGCACACATTTTTATATAACCTATTATCAACTATCGTCATTAAAATATGCTTTTTGTAGTGTTAATATTAATCTGTAGTATGCAACAAATGAAACATGTTTCCAACATAGTAAATAGATCGGTTCGTTTTTTTTATTAAACAATCTTGTCGGATGCGTTAGATTGAAATACATCGATTGTAGTATACCATCGTTGGGTAATTATCAAAAAGAATTGCAGCATTGCGATGGATTATTAGGCTTCTAACTACGCTTATTACCATATTGGCGTAGTAGTATAAGTTTAGTTCTGTGGTACTAGTCACAATCCTAGTTGTAACCACTGAGAATCTCTTAGTTCAATTATCTTTAAAATTAGTTCCTTTCATCATTCACGTGAAGATTTCTTGAGAAAAAAATTAATTTGTGCCATTCCAACGTCCATTTACTTTGATAGACAAATATCTGAAATCCAACAAGAGATTCATAGACGTTTCATTTTTGCAACTGTTAGAAAATAAACGTATTAACCGTATACCTTCGCACGAAATTGTTTCAGACAAACGATCTAAAAGGTCAGACGTGTGAAATCAGGCATGACGGGACGCAACTATATGATTTACTGATTTCTTTTTAGATTAATTTGCCTAGAGCGACGAATGTACATAATTCATATAAAAAAATGAATATAATTATGTTGAGATTATTCTAAGTAAACTGATTCTATCTTTAATATAGAAGATATATAAGGATTCTTTAAAACATTATTAGCAATGACATGTAATAGAGAGCTAGTTGTAACATAGGTGACTCATATTCAATTAAAATATTTTCACTTTACTCTAATCAGTGACAATAATCAGCGTGATTTTTTACATCATTGTATTCATGACGTTTGAAAACTTTCAACGGTGATACAATTTTCAGCTCTACAGATACTGAAATACAGATATTATAACCGATAAAAATCTTTGTAAAAGAATTCAAGAGACAATACTTCAACGAGGTCTGATCATTTTCGAAGACACAACTCGAAAAGTAAATAAGAGTGAGCCATGCAATCTCTCCTTCATACACGATATAAATGTATATAATTTCTATTGATTATTTATTATGACGATTTATTGATTTTCAAATAAATATTTGACTAAGATTATTGCAGAAATATACAAATACTTCCATATCTGAAGTAAAGCACATTTACAAATTTGACTGATAATAAGTTTATCTATACAGCATAAACACAAAACGAATTTTCTTTCTAAAAAGTAAATATATCATGTCCTTGTTCAATAAGTATTTCAAGTAAACGTTGAATTGATTTAGAATTTTTCAAGCCGACCATTGGATCAGGATTTTCTGAACGCATAATGGTTGGACCAAATACAATAGCTAAATTTTCCATGGTCATTTGATTGTGCATTGAGTGTTGAGAAACTTTTAATAGATGTTCACACAGATATTTTAATGTATAAAAATGAGCTGGTGGTAAACGACGAATAATTGAACGGATTGTTGTCACGCATAAAGATGATGGGCGAAGTTCAAGTAATTGTGTCTGAACATCGAAACTGATAAGCGGAATTGGTAATTGTCTTAGATACAGTTTCAAAACACACGTTATTGCATGAATATCTGGATAGCGCTCTTGAGATAGATCAACATGATCACAATCACGTTCGAATGCTAGTTTGATCTCTTCGACAGTATCAGAAAATCCAGCTATTCGATAAATGCCTTCAGTATCAAGTGCATGAGGGCGTGCTTCAATTTCATTAACACACTTCTCGAGTACAACTGGTGTTAATGAAGCAACTGATGAGGCTGGTGTTGTGGCTTTAATCAATGTAGTCAAATCGACACCAAATATCGATTTGAGATATTTCATATGAGGTACCTAAACAAAATAAGAGTGAAATATAACCACGAATAATTTATCTATGACTGCTAAGCTTATTGTTTCTCAAATATTATTTCATGAATTGATGATTCCGTTTACATGATCAATAACGGTTTGTAAAACCAACGTCTAGTCAAAAGAATCAATACTGTATCGAAGAAGATGATGTTTACGATCCGATTTTGAGTTTAGCACATATGGCAGATAAAGAAACTTTACTCTGTTTCAATTCGCACTCATCCTCTCAAATTTAGTACAGTCTATTTAATGGTTATCTAAATTCCTTTATCAATAAATCCAATTTCAATCAATTGTAACACTTTGCAGACATATAGTTTCAAAACAAATTATTCACATTAAGTTGTAATAGAAAGCACGTCAACAGTTTATGAATACTAGCTTCTATACTTATCAAGTTATTCAGATTACAATCATGAAAGGATCAGAAATACTGATGATAAATAATTCTAAGACCTTTGAATGTTCAACTTAAAAATGATATTTCAAGCTGAAAGTCATGCTCATATTATACCACAATGGTTAAATGTAGATAACTATCATTCTTGTCCTATTAATAATAGAATATTGACATCACTTACGCAATCTTGTGGTACTTTTTCTGAACAACGTTTATGTGCTTCAAATCCACAATCAGCACATTTAACACCTTGCTGAACAAGACCCCAGAGAAAATTAGCACAATAATCACACCAGTGTGGTCCTTTAAATGAATGCATTTTAAAATTATGCGCTTTTTCAGCTTGCATCAAAAGAATGCGATCAAAGAATAATGGATTTGCCGATGCTAATTTTCGATTGGAATTGTTATTAGTATTATTATTAACAGTTTTTGTTGGTGATATTCTCAAAGATGAATGACGTTCTATTATTGGTGAATTACTTGTTAAAGAGTGCCGATAGTTAAATCCCGTTTGATCCGTATTTGTTATTTGAGAATTTATTATTGACTGATTCATTTCATTGTTTGTGAGTGATGATGAAACCTTGATCGAAACAAGATTATAGTTAAAGAAATATTTCGTATTAAAATAATATGTTTTACTCGATTAGATATAGTAGTTTGTGTTTGTGCTCTATGTAACAATTGTGCTTTATACTGTCCATATGGACTTTCGTTAGTATAGCATTGTGAATCACATGCCATTAAAGCAATATAATCACTTGCTTTTGATTCTAAATAAAATGATATTAAACCATCATGCACAAGATCATTCAGTGTATCGAAATGTTTTTCTCCGACATAATGTGTAGATGTTGGAACATCGAAGTATAATTTATAATATTTAACTTCACCATTGAATTTTATAGCTAATGTATATGAATCAGGTGGATTTAGTGATTCACGAACAAGATAGGAACCATCAGTAGATGTTGCCATTAACTGATCGGCATCTGTACGTGATAAAAGACCATGAAATTCTAAGCCATACTGTCGAGGACGACGTGGTTGCGACGTCCGACATATGATTGGAGCTGGTTTCGGTGCTTGCATTTGTAAATTATATAAATATGATTTCCATACTGGCAATGAACCGGAAGGATTAGAAGTATTCGATTGATATCGTGTTACAGGATCAAAAAGTGTTGTCGATGATATTATAGATGTTACTGATTGATCCATGAATGGTATCGACATCATTGTTCTCTGAAAAAAATGAATCTGATTAAAAATAATCCACCACTATGTAGTTCAAAGAAAACTGTTCTTTTCTTCTTTAAAATAGATTAAATAAGATAAAATTAAAAAATTAATAATAAAGAAGTTTTTGAATTTCATTATCTGACGGTGTATATCGATATGAATCCATATTTGGTGTTAATGGACTGTGTTGTTTATTTTCTAGAGACAACAAGAGGGATCAATCATAAAAATAGCCGAATGAAATCAAAGTTACTTTTCAGAAAACGACGTTTAGTTCGACGGTATAGATGAAGTGCAACTCGATTTGTCATACGAGAAACCTTGAAAAAAATCAGATAGAAGAATATGCAAAAAACCATATACAAGAAAATTACTAAGAATGGAAAGCAAATAAGTTTTGATCTCTGTGATGAGGATTTTAATTGAAAAGAGTTACTACTTGGCAAGTTACTTATTTCATCCACAAATATTTCCATTGCATCAAAACAAACAAGAAAAATATTTATATATATATATATATATATGTGCACGATGAGTAGCTCCTATGTGGGTGGATGAATAATGAACGAACGAACAAATATTGATTGAGAGTTGATGACTACTAACGTCCTCTCTTTCTCTATGGATCGAACGACAATGTTGCGCAAAATTTGTTTTTAGATAGCTAGATATTTGCTGACGAGTCAATCGGATGTTTTCTATGTTTTCCGAAAACATCTAACTGTAGATATTTGTCTATTGAGCTTAAAAATAAATCGTTCATAATGGTCGATGCAATTATCTTTAGTTTCAATCGATCAGTATGTATGTTGATAAGCGTGCACAATAATCGTATCAATGAGGAGTCGTGAATATTGAATATGAAATCAATTCTGCATTTGAGTTTCAAGTATAGGATTTTAGTTGTTCAACTGAGATATTGCTTTCTTTGAAATATAATATGGATTGAAAAATTACAGTCACGAAAGTTCTATACTTCAAAGTAGAATCAATAAGATATTTGATATCGTATTGACGAGTGTTGTTTTACAAATACAACTTTGTACCACGAACAATTTATTAATGATTCTCATCAGAGTCATTTGAGTCAATCATTCTAAATAGTTTATTGGATAGCTGATGATTGCCTGTGAGTAATGTGAAATCTTCGTATTGTTTCTCGCGTTGCCTTGCTACAGATACTTATTTTCCATCGGTAAATTGTGTGCACATTAATTGGTTGTTACTTATTTTAAGAGGAAGACTGGATGTTTATCTTATCCAAAACTGAAAATTACACCGAACCCACACTATCGTCATTACAACCACGAATCAATTAACGTATAAAACAAAAAACAGCGATAAACAATTCTGAAAGTACTACAATTCAATTGATTACATGGAAACATACTATGTTAGATCATAATTGTTCGGGATACTACGAGGGTGCATTGTACCATTAGAATACTTGAAAAAAATCATAGTTAAAAACTAGATAGAATGGATAATCCTCGAGCGACTCTTAAGAAAAATACAATCGATTGAAGTAGTATTCGAAGGTTGATGATTTGTAGGCCATAAAAAAGAGTGTCTAATTTTCAAATTCTCATAAACTTATGATTGGCATCAATAAAGGCTATTAGATGATTTTCTAGCTATTGCATTCAGTTAAAATACATCATAATATTTCTTGATGTGTAAGATCTATTAAAATATGCATTGTCATCTTGAATAGAAATATAAGAGTATACCTTTTCTTGGTGTGCCGTAGAAAGGTCGAAAGGAAAAATATCGAAAGGGAATAATGTCGAAAAACATATAAAAAGAGAAAAACGTCGAACAATACATTTTACCACAAAAAAATGTCAAAATTCGAAATAAACGAAATAGCGATGTCTACAGTAAATGATGATTCCAAACGCGAATAATTCATGTTTTCTTTTCCCATAATTCTACTAGTCTAGATTTTGCACCTCTTGTAACAGTGATGATTAATATACTTCATATACATTAAGTAAACAATCCCTACATAAGAGTAAATAAATAGCTAAAATTCTACCATTATGGCTACAGCTGTCGCATCTTCAGAAGATGAAACTCAATCAAAGTCACCAACGATTTCATTTATTAATTCACAAAAAGGAAAACAATTGTTAATAGTAAATGAATATATTTCGATTATCATATGTTAGTATTAACGTACACAATGAAACATACTTCTGTCAAGTCAGAATTCGAAAACACTCTTCTCGATCATTTTCCACAACAATATATTTTTTTCGACATTTTTCCCTTTCAACATTTTTCCCCATCGATTTTTCGACGCTTTTCCTTTCGACCTTTGGACGGCCAACCTTTTTCTTTCGTGAAGATTAAGTTCTAAACAAAAATAGTAATGTAATGTAATGTATGTAACAAGTAGCTACATTTATTCATTTGTTGGATTGAAAATAGACGAAAAGAAAATGAAATTAGTCAGTATTAAATATGTCGAGAATATCACGTAAAATAAATGAAATGAAAAAAATCCGACCAACATTTTGTCAAAAAAATGACCATACTTGAATTTTGAACTACAATAAAATATAAGTTTACTACCGATACAGTCAATGAGTTATTCTTAAAATTGTTGGACTATGCATATAGTTTAATCAAATCTTCAAGAATCAAAATAATCTACTGTTTATTTTCGTATATGATCGCTCGATAAATGCTAAAACTTGGTTAAATTTCAATAAATTCAACACTTTTAAAGAAATAGGAAACCTAGTAGTCATTGAACATTAAATAAAATAATCAAATCAAGTCGCATTCTTTTGTGTCTGCACATTTACTTGTAAAAACATATTTTCTTTTGTTAAATTTCTTTGATTTTTTCATTGATAATTTGCTCAGAATAATCCCACCATTCTCGAGCTATTTTATCGTCCTTCGCATATTTATGATATACTGGTGTTGGTTGACAATCTGCATGATATTCAGCTGGTCTAGCTTCATTTGATAGTGCACAATAAAGAATTGTTTGTGCTCCTTCTAATGGTGTTTTAAAAATAACGTATCTGATTGGTTTCAATAATTTCCGTATGAAATCACTCAAACTTAAATGTCGATCTAACGGCGTATTTGTCGTTCCAGGATGTAATGAATAAGCACGAATATTGTGCGACACACCATAACGTCGTTGAAGTTCACGTGTAAATAGAATATTCGCTGTTTTACTCAATGAATAAGCAGAAAATGGATGATATGTATTTGGATCACACATTTGTGCATAATGTAATGCATCACACGGTACGGCCCACATAAAATGAGCAGTAGAAGAAACATTAACAATACGTGATGATCGAAGACGACGTAAAAGTAATTGTGTAAAATAAAAATGACCAAAATGATTTGTACCCATTTGTAATTCAAAACCATCTTTAGTTTGTGCATAAGGACAAGCCATCACACCAGCATTATTAATCAATGCTGCTATTTTTTTATTTCTAGTAAAGCATATATATATATATATTTGAAAATGATTTAATAGAATAAAATATATTACTCGTTTTCATTCTTCATGAATTTTTCAACACATGCTTTTATTGATCGCAAATCAGCTAGATCAAGTGGATACCCTATTATATTATTTGGTGAACGACTAAATTTTTTCACATTATTAATCGCATCGGTGAGACTTGTAGGACGAGCAAAAATTATAACTCGAGCACCGCGTTTAGCTAATTCAATTGCTGTTTCTTTACCGATGCCACTAGCAGCTCCAGTAACTAAAAATGTTTGCCCGTGTAAGTTAAGTTTGTGAATATCTAAATATTGTCCACCACGAGCAAACCATCGCATTAGTACGATTACAATAATAAAGTAAAGTACAAGATAAACTATATTAGACGATAACCATGTCCAAATGCAAGTTGAAATAAGAATATTGTTAGCAGAAAGAAATAAAATAATAAGTGATAGTACAAAAGTCAGTAATGCTTTTGCTTCTGCTTGACGAAGAAAAAACAATAGCATGTTTTTCGCTGATAAAATAATGTGTAACATTACTTGATGACAATGATCATATTATTGTTATTATTATTAGATGTGACTTTAACAATGATTGGAGAAAGTAACTAAACTAAAACAACCTATATTTTGGAATTTTCGAAAGCGGCATCTTTAGACATATACACAAAGTAGTATTTGTTCATTCACATTTATTTTGTTTGTTATCAATGTATGACACATAGAACGAATGAAAAGAATCATATTATCATTTTAGTTATTAGTTTATAATCTTCATATAATTATCTAGTAAACTGTAAGACTCGCTCACAAGATTCGAATTCTTGCATCGCATAGAAAGAGACAGTCATATTCAAATTCATCAATTATGCACAATTAAAAGAAATTGAAAAAAAAAACAATAATTCGTTGCTCAGCTTTTATCTTACCAAAATTTTCATTTCTATCAATCCGTTCATGAATCATTAGAAACTAGCTACAATTACTTTCACAAATGTGTTGAGATCCTCGGTAACTTGAAAGAGTGAACAATTTTTTAAGAATCGACAATAAAATACTGGAACTGCTCTGAAGAAAAAGAAAACGAAAATTTTATGCGATAGTATGTGTTTAATATGGTAGTTATGCTTGAATCTTTTTTTTTTCTTTATTTTTAATAAAATATACGAGTAAGAAACTATCGAGAAAATTATTTAATAGGAATTTCACTGATGTAAAAGCATAGTTCTTGAATACAATTTTTGTTCTAATTATTATGAAATAATCCATGTGAAATTACGATGAACTAAAGGATACAATACAGTGTTACAAAACCAAAAAATATATATTCGTCAGTAATAGGATCTTAAATAGATGATTGCATATCTAACGTTTTATGTTTTTGAGAATTGTAAAAATTAATCATGATTTGTTCTGTCCTTTAATGTGTGTTCAATGTAAATTTCTCTTTCGTTGTGATGGTCTTTGTTTAAAAACTCCTTATCAGTCTTCCCGTCTCTTCAGAATCAATGGAATTATTCATCATATGGTTTCTCCCTTCTGCTATACTTCGAAGTAAATATTCGTTACATTATTGTCAGGCCAACTGATATTTATCTGAGGAATAATTATATACAGCACTACAATTCTAGATTTTACTTTAATAGAAATTTGAAAATTATTAAAAGACAAAGAGATCAATGCGAAGTGTCTCTTCTTGTTTAAATGCAGCAACTTTCTCAGGTTCATTCCTCACTGTTTGACCGTATAATTCTGTTCTATCTTACTAATAAAAAATGCTGTTTTCTTTTGTTTCGAAGATAGTTCTTTCGATTCATAGATGTATTTACCAGATAGGAAAGCTGTACTCGACTAAACCCAAACGCAGACTCCTGGTTTTATCAATATTATATTTTTAGTAAAAGAATCAATATTATTAAGTGGAATAACCACAAGTAAATCCTTGTTGATATTTAGCTGGTTTTGTCGAAAAATTCAAATTCTTCTATTGATAATAACAATAAAACAGATGGATGCTCTATTTTTTGTTCATTGATTTGAAAAAAAAATGAAAAAAAAACTTAAATACTATAAAATTTAGAAGCAACAAACTTAAAAATATTATGAATTTTGTTTACGATTATTTTTTATCGCTACCAGATCTGTGTTTGACGGAGATGTGCAATTTATTTTGATTCATTTCACGTGGTAGCCGTATAACCATGGGTTTAGACGCGATTACTTTGTGATTAGAATCTTTATTTATATGAGCAGCCATAGGAGTACGATTGGCTTGTGTTGCACTTTGTTGCGACGTAACATGCCGAATTTCTTTATTGATTCCGTGACCATTCACAATCTCAGGAAGCTTTTTATTGGGACGAAAACCATTGACATTTGTAGTATTTTTCTCTCTTGAATTTGCTTTTAATGTGAAAAGTGTTAGGTTGGTAGGGAAACCGTGCAGATCAGAACGTTGTAGACGAGTTATTTTCACATGTTCATTACTATTAGATTTTCTTCTAACATCAATTGATTTTTTTTCATCATTTGGCCGATAAAGATATCTAATTTTAAACTTCGGCGTGATATCATTATGATTGATTGGTACTCGAGAAACTCGTACAATAGTTTTCCCAAACATTAGCCGGTGACCGTTTTCAATAGCAGGTAATAGATCCTCAGTTGCTTCACTAGAGACATCATCATTGGAATTTAGTTCATTTAATGCTGTATGATGATTAGCAACTTCTACACCTGCACTAGACATTTTTTCTTCGTTTGATAAATAATGAAGTATATAAATAAACTTGACCTAAAGAAATAGTTGAGGATTTTTACGATTCACTTACAATGAAGAAATGCAATGCTTTTTCTTTGCGGCATACTCACTGAATGTTAAAAATAAAACTACTCTCATTTCAAACAAATGATCGCAATAATCATATGTATATTTCTGACGTAAAGGAGAACTTCATGCTCTTTTCTTTTCTGTTTTTTCTTCTGCTGTAATAGCATCAACGATAATTCGTCATCAATTTTTGTTGATAGAGACCATAGTAATGATTTAAGTAATTGATTTTTTCATCAAATTTGAGTGATTTAGAACTGATTACTTTTTTTTCTTGATTGAGAGAATTGAGTCTTGAAAAAGAAATTCAATTATCGTTCTTTCTACAACATTGTGTAACTATGGTACAAATGATTGCTTACAATGACAACAAAAAACGTCCACTTATTCGCTCTAAAATTCAATGACAACTTGTATCCAAGGACAAAGAATACGAAATCTCTAGACACTGAGATAGTCGAAATATACTTCATATTGAATCATATACGAATGTATTTTAGTTTTCTACCGAGCCATGAATATGTTTATAAACAAGAAGCGACGATCGTTGACAAGTACGCTTGAAAAGTACAGATCATCGTTATTAAATTAATGACTGATTCAATCGATTACTCGCTGCTGAGTACGTGACAATGTGATGTGATCAATATTAAAAGTTAGAGAAAGAAGCTCGAGCATATGTTTATAGTAAACTAAATTGTTATTATTTGAATAATATGATAGTATTTTGTTTTTGAAATCAAAGTAGTCTTCTTTCTTGTGTCTATATATTTATTTGAAATACGCTCTATTTGAAACATAAATAAAATGACCGAAATTAATATTACTTATAAAAAACTGAAAAAGCTTTAATTTTAAGTTTTTTCTGTTTAAAATATTCTAAAATCATGCATAAAACCTTGCAATAGAAAATGCAACATATTTTTAATTCTTTTTTTTCAAGCAAAGTTCTGTCCTATATTTCGTCGCTATCGAGCAAGTAAAATTTGTATAAATAAAAATCATTGATTTTTTTTTTTACGAACATAATTTATTCAGAAAATAAATTATGTATATAATTAACAAATAAAAAATCATCATAATAGTGAAGCAAAAACATACACTTTTTTGTCAATTTTATGCATAGAATTGTGTGAAACAGCTGTTCAACTAATTTGTTATATGTGTAACATTTTTCGACTAAATTCACATAGATCTTCTATATGCTAGTCGATTATCATGAATACAATAAGTTCAATTGAGCGTATCGAAATTTTATTGCTTTTCATGCTACCAAGAAGAGTATGGAGATAGAACAGGAAATAACATATGTTATATTTCTATCAGTATATCTTTGTGTGGAATCAAATTGAAACGAAGATGTTGACAAAAATCCAATAATAGTAAATTGTATTTTCGCCCTATCGACAATTGTTATATTTCTTCGCAATGAAAAATACAGTTTTTTGTTGTTATATTGGTGCTAATACGTCAATTTTATCTTGTAAAGAATGACGCATGAACGAACATTGCATATTGACCGGCAGTTCCTTGCCTGTTTTCCCTTTTTGAATGCTTCTATTTTTGTATCTTTCCGAATAGTAAATACTTAAATGCGTGTTGTTTTGGTCGCTTATTTTCTTTTTGTAACTTAACCGTTTGATCATGATAATGATAGCAACGTCTCTTACTTGATTATCACCATTTTTGTGAGAGACATATCAAGTGTCACTTGATCATATCTTTGTAGTTCTCGCTGTCAACTTCATGTAGCGGGAAGTTGTCCACCATTGCTCTCAACAGGCGTGTGTCAGACACTCCATCATGCAAACGAACTTTCTTGCTTTTTTCTACTGCTGTTCTCCATTTCGCCTATAAAATAACTTGTCAATCAATGGATCCGCTGACGAGAATAAATTATAACTGGGCTAATCATCGGCATTTGTAAGTACGCGACGGAAAAGGCTCTGCATATTACAGATATATATATATATATATATATCTGTGTGTATACTTTGAATAGAATACTTTATTATAATAAGCAAAATCGATAGAAAATTATATTTTATACTCTAGGGGGGTTGTCAAAGTTTTTTATATTGACCTTTCGATGATATGATACAATTGACTTATAGACGTCCCATATGGATTATTGCAAAGGCAATATATTTCAGCTACATTAGTATGAGTTATCATTTCTCATTCGATAATTTGCAATCTAAATTCAAATGATTTGCTTTTAAAATATATATAATAAATGCTACTGCTAAGTCCATGTTAACGTAGAACAAAAATTTAATGTATGCTTTATAAACATTTAAATTATGCTGATGATTAGTTAATGTTTCAGATTTAAATAGATTATCGATGAATGAATTTTCTAAAAGAAAAGGCTCGTGACATGTCAAAAAAAGTAACATATTGAAAAAAAGAAAAGCTTTATTTCAATTGACAGGTGATGGGATAAGAGAGAAAAACCCGAACAGATATAGAAGTATTGACATCCTATTACGGCTTGTCCACGTAACGCGCTACTTCGCTGATCAAGTTTTAAAAATTGTTTTTTTCGATATAGACAGATCTAAGCGTATTTTCTGGTATCGCCTTTTACGCTGATTGTGAATTTGGACTTTTTTTCTTAAAAAAAATCGGTTTCGGCATCTAAAATCGAGTTTTAAAGTTGTTAAAAACTGTATTTTCAATTTTATAACCAAGAAATTTAAAACAAAAATGCAGAGTAATATACTATTCGATGCAGAATTTAATTCTCTACAAAATGACCCGTTCATTTTTTACTCTCATTCTTCAGGACAACTTCTAAGGTCTTATACAGTTTCTAACTTACTTTACAATTATTGAGCTCGTATTTCGATCTAGCAGCTTGATTTGTTTACAGAAGGATATATCTGCGACAGTGATCAATATACATAAGCATTAAATATTTTTAAGTATGTTAAGTGCTTCAAATTTGGTCGACAAAAAACGTGTCACAGCGTTACGTTTGTTTTTTGCATTTTTAATTTGAGCGAAAATAGTTTATAAAAAATATCTTTTACTGCTTGAAAGCTCATTCAATTCTCTACAAAAACTGGTACCATAAGCATTTCATTTGAAGAAATGATTTGTCAAAAAATTAGAGCTTTATACGCAAGCCCTAGAAAAAAGGGTCCTTTTTTGTCACAGTGTTACGCGATGATAAGACCTTTCTAGAAGCGCGAGAGTTCAGTCAAACTAGGTCATATTTTCAACATAAATAGAGTATAATAAGCTGCGTCGAGTGCCGTTTGAACGATCTTATTAGCTATTATGCCTTTCGAGATAATTGCAAAACAATTTTCCAAAATGTCACAGCATTACGTTTGGACAAGCCGATTACTAATTGTATTTTTTCCGAGGGACTATTTTATTTTCATCTACATATCTTCTATTTATATAGTTTATCGATAAAAAGAAACTTAGCTTAATAGATAGTTGTTGTTTATCTGACATTCTTACTCAGAAAACTTTCTCTTATCCGTAAGTAGCAGATTACGTTGTCTTTCTAACGAATTAATATTATAATGAAAAGTTCGTTAAATGCTCTTTTTTTTGTTTTGCTTGTGAGTGATGTGCATAAAGAGTAGACGTTTGATGAGCCTATTATTCACCGCAAGATATAACTAAATCATGTCTTACGATAGAGAAAATCGTGGATAATTTTAATATTTTCTTTTAGGTTATCTTACGAATGAAAGAAGCTTTTTGTTTTTTGCTAATCCTAAAATATTAATATGAGTTCTGCAGGGTTCGTATGTTTAATGCGGAACTTTGAATATTTCAACGATATCTGTAGATGACATTGAGATGTTAGATCGAGGGGAAATGACGGACTTGAAGTAGAAGAGTACGCCAAAGTACTTCAAAGTACCATCCAAAAAGCCCAAAATAACCTCAAGTAACTTCAGGAAATTTTGAAGTTGAAAAGTACGTCAAAGTAAGCTACTTCAAATAGCTCAAAGTAAATTCAAGTTCAAAAGTTCAAAAATCTGACGCTCCCCCCCTTGTGTTAGATATACGTTAAATATTGTCTACATATTTTGTTTCTATGGATTCAATATTAAGTCTCTACGGAAAAGCAAGAATGTAATAAAAAAACGGATGTAAGAAGATAATATATACTCATTATTTCAGTAAAATGTAAAACGAAGAGTATAGGGGCGTTTGCTAAAAGCCCTTTGGTTAAGAAGAAATTTTTTTTCTACCTTCATTATATGATTAATTAACCTGTCAGTTCTCTTATCATTAATAAAGAAACATCTATAGCTCGTATTGATAAGAAGAAGAAGAAGAAGAAAAAAACTTCATAAATATAATTTTTAATCTTAAACGTAAATACTAATCACGGACGACTCATGGTAAATGATCTTATAATTTCTACTACTAGCGCTAGACTTTGCAGTTAGAAGAATGAGGGTAAACCTTTTCCTGCTGTCAGAATTCTTGTATGTAACTAACATTAGCAATAGTTCTTTATATTTTACGAAAAACTTCATATAGCTTTAAGATAATCGACTCCCTTTAGCGCTCTACGTAGTAATTTCTCAACTATTTTTAATTATTTACTTTTTGTTGTATATACCTCGTTTTTAGTAAAATTTCACAATAGAATTTTCGAATATCGACTTGTTTAATATAAATTATGTTCACATGTTTGCTAGCAATAATAAAAGTATCATCCCAATTTCTACGTCTAACGATTACGAGAATACATCTTGATATATTTATTGTACTCATAGACAGAAGAGAGAGTTCATTTGACATATTGTAAAGAAAAAAATGTAAGATTATTGCACTATATGATAAAATCAAACATATTGTAGTGATGAGAAAATTTAGAAACAAATTATTGACAACACTGAAATGTTCAAAGTTGACAAAACATTATTGATGGAGAAAAAAATAGATGTGATGGATTAAATATGTCATTTTTGAAGAATATCTCAATGATGCAATAGATAAAACATCTCTTTGTTTAATCAGTTTGCTCGAATATTCATAGAACTAATCTATTTTAGTTCTAGTTTATGAAATATTCATTGCATGTAGGCACGGTTATTTTCTAGATTTTTCTATTGAACTATGCATTGAACAGGCCAGAGTGTTATACCTCATTCATATACTGAATAGACCCTAATTAAATATATTTATTTTCTGTTCTAACATACATAACAAAATAATAATATAAACGAAACATTTTCTACTGACTAAAATATCGAATTAAAATTTCATTGAAACTATTTTACATAAAAATGTTTTATGTTTATTATTATTATTAAATAGAAGATTATTATTTTCTTATTTTGTTAATCGCAAGATGTAATTTATGAAATTACTCGCAAAAAAAAACAATTTTTTGAGCTAAATCGAGGCCTACAATTCTTTTGTTATTTTTGTTTTTGGATTAACTCAAAAATATATATCCTGTTGTAAATCATATTTAGAAGATAATTAAAATATTTGAATGAAACAATCAACTTTTATGTGTAAATATTTTTAGCATAAAATTCTTGTTTTTTTTCTCGCCAATGTTCATCGATCAAATGTAGTAAAATACTAAAAAAAGCAACTGCATCTATCACTTTCAATCAGCTGCATGGTCATCGACTTCATTAACTCATAAAATTCTCGTTCTGTATCTTTTCTATTCTATCCGCCTTTTCCCCGTTCATGTCAATGTTATTTTTTTCTTTCAAAACTGTTTCCGATCAGGTAAACTAATGACAGCTTATCATGAACATTCTGATCGAACAATAAAATTGAGCGTACAAAAAAAATAAAAATAAAAATATTTGTGTTAATTTTACAATATATTACTGGCTATTTTAACTTCTAGTATGCTTCATTTTTGCTATAGAAGAAAGCTCCTATATACAGAAGCTAAAACTATCCGCTCTCTGTGAATTGTAGCTGGCGGCTAATCATATATTTCCTCATTTGATCGTTCACATTACTTACTATGTTGGTCTAAAATTAGCAGTTCATAGTACAGCATCAATAGACTAATAGATAAACGGAAACTAAATGAATGAGAATAAAAAGAAACTTTGGTTCAACAGTGAAAATAGATTTTTAATGGGTCGCGTTACCAAAAATAGCCATGTAACATACTCAATGGCTTGCTGTGTGTAATTGAACTTTTCTTTTCTAGTCAACTCAGATTTTACCATGATTAGAACAGTGAATTTTCTTAATTATATTTATGATTTATAAGCAAAAACAAATTATATTTTATTATTCAGATTAAAGAATGCACTACCTATGTCTTATGTACGAATCATTGACATTTTAGTATCGTAAAAGAAAAAAGATCCATAATATATAGTTTCTGCTGTTATTGGAAAAAGGAGTCTCTAGACTTGATTATTCAACTGCTGGTGTGTTTGTGTTTTCTTTTTTTTACCAACCGACAGAGAAAGAGGGATAGAGGGGGAACAGAGATGCATTGTTCCCCTGCTAGCAATATCTCTACATTACGAATTCAATATACGAGAGGAAGAGAAATGAGAGAAGACAAAGAGAAAGAGAGACAGAAAAGTTGAGGAGACGAAGAAAAAGAAGCAAAAAGTCTTCTGCTCTTCTACACTTTCATTTAGTGTCGACTGCGGATATACACTCTTGTGATCTCTGCTCTATCACTTAAGATATAAATAAATAACTAAATATATATATATATATATATATATATATTTGATTGTTTCTTAAAACTATTTTTAACGATTTATTTGAACTATCTCAAGAACAGAAGAAAACGAACATTGATTGAAATAATACAATAATGGCATCCGGTAGGTTAATACTATATATATATATATAAATTATCTGCAGATCTCAATGCAACTTGAAAGCCGATAAGTTTCTAGAAGAAAATTTCATTGAAATTCATTGATGTACTGACATTTTTCACTTGTTGCACTTTCTTATTTGTAGCCATTATTTACGTAGATGTATAACTAAGTGAAATCGATCTAGTCATCGGTATGCATAGAAAATATGTCTCAAGATTACTTTTCTATTTGTGTTGTAATAAGCACCATCACTATACATTAGAAATATGAGGAAATAAAGAAATCATATCGGAAGAAAAACTAGTAATACAAAGTTATCAATGTATGTAGTTTTTTCGTAGGGGTAATGAAATGAAAGATGAGAATTATATCGGCAATAATAGAATATTTAATAGTTTGCTGTTGATAAAAGCTTGTTTTGTCAAACAATTATCTTCATTAAGCCTAGAAAACGATGCATGCCGTTTTTAATAATAAAAACGATATATCATATCCTACAAATGGATTGTATTCTATCCCAGAACCGATTTTATTTCATGTCTTTTTTGGCAACATATTTATTTTGTTTGTGTATCACTTTAGTTGGTTTCTTTGACGGATAATGAAAATACTATTAAATAACAGTTAGTCTTGCTAATGATTTAACATATTAGCATTGACTTATAAACAATCAGCACTATAATCATATTACCTCGGAGCTATCATAAAAAATTAAAACAACATATCTATTGACCTGTTCTATAAAAATAAGTTTAAAGAATAATATAATCAGTATAAACATATCGTGATATTCTTTTAGTTCAGTTAGCTGCTGTTGGATCTATTAACAATGTGTAGCTGTATGTTTTTGTCGTATTTTCTCATTTCGCACTTAAACCCTATTTTATTTCTTCTATAGATGTGGGTGGATATTATCTTAGATAAGTAGAAAGACGGTTCGTATCTTGAAGCAACACTAGCTATCCAAATTACTCGAGAAGTAATTGTGATGATTGTTTCATCAAGTTTTTATTGCTATTTTCGAATAGTTCGAAATCAATAAACTCCATTTCACGATATAAGTATTTATATATGTTAACTATTACCCACTAATCAATATGGATGATCAAGGTTCTCAAGAATGCATCCTCTGCGTTTTATTCTGTAATCTGTCTTCTATTAAATTCGAAGTGCTCTTGAATCAAATGGAACTTCCGTCAGACGTCAACAATAACGAGGGAATAATTGACGCAAAACAGAACTACTTTCATGTGTTAGGTTTTATTCTTTCCTTTCAAAATAAATATCAATATAATTCTGAACTTCTGAAATATTTAGACATTTTGTTTTCTTATACATCATAGAAGCAAACACTTGTGTAACATTATTTACTTTTCACACGCTCTCTCTTTCTCTCTCTCTATATATATATACTTAACTTTTGTTCACTCCATTATCTATTATTATGCACGCATGCTGTGATTTAGTCAGCTTTCATGCATTGAGAGTAATTGGTTTTACAAACGACATCATTTACCGGTACACACCCTATTCATCTTTTTTTTGCGCTTTTAGCAAAATAAAATAAGAATAAGAAAAGCGAGATAACAGTAAGGAATAATCCAGTCCTTTGTTATTATTCAAGAATAATTTAGATAGCTCGAAAAGCCATGCTTTACGCACGTATTGCCACACCAAATATATGTCTGTAGTTAACAAGTAATAAAGTGCTACTTGACTATACTTATGAACGGCGGCACGTCTGTATCAATCAAAAAAAATGTGAACGTTAGATGCTCTTTGAAAGAAAAGAATATTATACAAATAAAGATGAGTCTATATATGACACAAACAGGAAATTTAAAGATCTACTTGTATTTAAATCATGAAGTGTACAAATACAAAATGTAAAACGTAATGAATTATAACAGAAGATAATATAGAAATAAAAAAATTCAGCTGATCGATATAAAAGATAATCGATCAGTATTGTTTTTTCTAACACATAGACTAGAAAATAAAATTCGTAAGAATTTGCGTGATCATATACAATCAATCAATTTCATACTTCTTTATTCAGTCTCCTATATCTATACATATATATATTTGTAAATGATCGATTGAGTAAATGATAACTCCGGGGAAAATCAACGTCAATATAGGAAAGAATCAATTTGATCGATCGAATAACCATGAAATTTTCTTTAATTTTTTAAAATATTTATTTTATTTCTAAAGAATCATCTACCTGCTTTATCCTATTTGGACATGTTTGGCGAGATCGATTACTCTTTGCCCAATCCACATGGCTTATCATCGCAAATTTCATCTCGGTTTTTACCAAGTCCATCATTGTTTGATACATCTCAACAATCTTATTATTCGCCGAATTTCTTTTGGAGTTATTATTCTATTGATTTATTTAATAGCAATCTAAATAATATGCCATCATTTATCAACAACGAAACAACATATCTTAACGCAAATTTATCAACAAATATATCTATCAATTCCCAACAAAGCTCATCTCCAGATGATGAAGCACCTGATCATTTGCTTTACATTATTATCCCACTTTATTCAATTGTTTTTGTTATTGGTACCATTGGTAATATTCTAGTTATATTAACTGTTGTAACAGTTAAACAAATGCGTAATACAACAAATGCACTTATTTTACATCTAGCTATTGCAAACTTATCCTTTGTACTAATGTGTATACCTCATACAATATACTTATATGTTGTTCATTCATATTATTTTCCAAAACTTCTATGTAAAATAGCGAATACATTAATGTATTTGAGTGCATATGTTAGTATATATATTCTTGTTTTGATGTCAATCGATCGATTTCTCGGTGTCGTCTTTGCTGTTAAATCAACAAAATATCGAACTGAACGTAATGCACATTTGGCAGTTGTTGTTGTTTGGTTACTTGGTATTATTTTTGCTTCACCAAATATGTAAGTAATTTTGAAATCGATATATTTGTTAGGTTTGCTTTATTTACTCTCGTGATATTATATTTGGTATCAATAATTTTACGATTAATAATCGATTGCAAATTCTATTTTTCTCATTCTAGGATCTATTATGATGTATTACTTGTTGATTCAACCAAAGACGTTTGGATATGTTTATTTCGTGACGATAGCTCACTATTAAACACGACTCGACGTGTTACAGCGTATATATTCGCTGTATTTGGTTTAATTGTACCATTAATCATCATTGCTATTCTTTATGGTCTTATTATAAAAGTTTTACGTGAAAATTCAACTGGTAAACAAGTAGCTAAAGGTAAAAAACGTGTAACAAAAATGATTTCAGCTGTTATATCATCATTTGTTATATGTTGGACACCGATGCAAATATATCTATTATATACACATCACAATCAAGTAACAATATTATTTGCTATTGTTTCACAAAGTCTTGTTTATATATCGGCATGTGTTAATCCAATATTATATGCGTTTTTATCTGAACCATTTCGTAAAGCATTTCAACAATTTTTAACTTGTTCAAAATTGATTTCAAATCATTTATTTTCACATCATGAAAACGAAACAAATATCGCGGGTAGAAGCTCATCATATCGTACTATACAATGTCATTCGGTGTCAAACATTTCACCGATGATATTAAATGAAGATATTAAAATAAAAACGAAACCTATAATTAACCATAACTACAAAATGATGGATTTAAGTTCAGCTGTAACAACCACAACACAAATATCTGAAACTGTTAAATATGATCAATTATCCAGTGCAAATATTTCTACGTAGTAATTATTATTATTATTATTACTAAAAGAACACAAAATATTAAACTTTTCTCAGTGGTGCTTTATTCTTTAATTGTCTTTTTTCTTGTTTATTTTTATTTCAAGAAATATATATATATATATATATATATATATATATTTACACATACATAAAATAAATATGAATCTTATATTACTGAAGATCTCCATATTTTTAAATGGTTCTATTGAGAGAAAATTTGGATTGAGTAGATAGAATTGTTTTTAAGAGGTTCATATTAGAATTCAAATGAACAATATATTGTTGAAATAGGCTAGCGATAATCAAAATTTATTAATGATGTTTTTCTCAGCAGGTTTTCAATAATTAAAAACGGCTCGAGATATCATTGGATAAAAAAAAAGCTGTCCTCCACTTAAATAAGTCATGTGTAAATAAATAGATTTTTCGTGTTCAATTTCTTTGAATGCTTTTAGCATGCAAAGGATATTTAATTAAGTTGATGTCTTCCTCTAGATTTCTCCTGACAGGATGTATAAGATCTTTTTCAAGTATCGTCATTAAATATTTATATATACATGCAAACATTAATGAAATGAAATATAATTATATGAGTGAATGCTAGTGAGAACCCCTTACCTTAAAATATTAATTCACCGGATATTGAAAAAAATCTTATTGCTTAACTTGCAAATGTTCTAGGCAGTCGACGGATTCTACTGCAAAAAGCGTCTATTCGAACTAGTATTACAAGAATACGATCAATTTTGACGATTTCAAATTCGTTTACTGTTTTGTTCTCATGTGTAAAAATTTTAATTCAATATTTCTAATAACTTTGACAAATTATGAATAACGTATGTGTTAGTGAATTGACAATGTAAACGTGTGAATCCAATGAATTTGACCTGTTGCTTAAGACAATATACTTCAAATGTGCTATTGAAAGTTTAATATTCATGTCATCTACGGACATTCAACCTTCTTATCAATGAATTTCTTTTCTTTTTATAGTATATTCTTAATAAATAGAATAGGTCATGATAATTTTTCGTGCTATATTTTATCATTTCATCGACAATTATAACAAACCGGTAAATTTAGAGTATAGAAAAATTGCTTGATCCTTATTGCAACATTATTTCCATTCTTCTGTAGTTAATGTTTTCGTGCGATTATTTTCCTAATAGACACAGTTTAGCAAAGCTCACTACACGAATCAGCTTTTATTTCTAAAAGTTCCCACCATAGCTGGAGGCATACAACAAATAGATGAACTATCGAATATGTCGCAAAGCATTGTTCGCTCACCGAAAAGTAATAAATGCTCTCACTCTCGACTATTTTAAAGCAAAATTTAGGTGTAAACATAGAGCTACCGATAAGCTTATCATGGGAAAATACTTTGCCCCCAAAACGTTCCTGTTTTTCTTTTCGATAGCATACTTTTACTTGGATACTAATCGTGTAATTATGGCAAACTTTGTTTCTCATTATGAAATTACTATATCTATCGAAATACACCATGCATACCATATAATCTATCGTACCGTAGATACGCCTAGATAATGACGTAAGTTAATAGTGGAGTATTTCGTTGAAAAATTCGTAGTAAATAGCATGCACTGTCTTTGATATATGTATTTTTCTACACTTTGTTATAGAAGAGGATGAATCAAGAATTAATGGAGTTTATCAAATTATGATGTTTCTCTAACTTTTTTATTCTAGCTATAAAGTATTAATATTTAATTTACCAGATACGTTTTAGTATTGTGTAAACTTATAAAAATTTGAATCGTTTTATATAGCGAAAATTTGAATTACTAGCCATGATAATTAGAAGTATAGTCATATACGTTCGATATAGATTTTGAAAACATACTTCGATGAATTATCAAATCAGTTCAGTTTGTCTTTATTTCGTAAAATTATTATTTTATTGTTTACAAAACTTTATTGACTAATAATTCTTAATAAGAACTGTAGATAATTTTCGTCCGCCAACTGCAGTATCTATTTTCTAGTTATTGTGAAGATTAATAAGAATCTTTCAAACGCGTTTCTTTAAATCACCTATACTGCTAATTTTCTTTCATTTAGAATATCACGGAAATGTTTCTTTTTAATCATAATAGCATATAACAGCTCTTAGTAATCTCTCAAACTAGACAGATGCAAATCATATGAAATGATCACGACATGTCGTGAGCGCAGTGAAGAAATTTAGATAAAAATTCTATGCCATCATGTTTTCAGAACATACTCAATAGGCAATTGTTAAAAATAGCATATTAGAGGTTAAAATTTATCTCTGAGCGATCGTTGTGTATGATATTTACTTTAAGATTGTATGTCAAAGGATAAAGAATGATAAAATTCCTTTTTTTTTAAATCCTCACTTTTTGCTAGAAGAAAAAAGCTACGAAGTACTGTGTCTAAAAAACAATCTAAAACATAGTCCATCAATTCTGGAACTACTTCTGAGATGGCACTAGCACATATTAATCTCAACAAGATCTATGTCATGTCTTGCATCTTAACGTGTTCTTTTCAAAGAAAAAAAAATAATTAATTACAATAAAGTAGAGATGTGCAGGATAAGGTTTTCTCTTACCCTGTACCCTCCCATGTCGTCAAAATCGCGAAAATTTTGACGATTAATCGCGATATTGAGAAAAAATCGACGATTTTTACACAGATAGGCGATTAATCGTTGATTTTTCACAACGTTAATGATCAATCGTGCCTTTGAAAAAATGATCACCGATTAATAGTGGTTAATCGACGATTTTTCAATATTACCACTAACTTGCAATTAAATCGATGATTTATGTAAATAAATGTTTTTAACTTAGAGAACGGGATAATACTAATTATGAGTAGTTTCTAATTTGAAAAGCGATTTAAGAATATATGTACTATATATATCGTACACATTTCAGTCAAACTTTTTACTGGCTAATAAGTTTAGATCAACAAAAAAAAAGATGATAACAGGTGTTGGTTTTTATACTATGTTACTTTTCATATTTGATTGTGATCCTTTCTACCTTGTGCTTGTCGGTCTGTTACGAATAGCGATTACTTATTTGGTCTCACAAGAAAACACACAAATAAAGAACACTCATTTCTTGCTTTAGATTTCAGTTATTCTTCAAGCTAACAATGAAGATATTGTTGCCAATGTTGATGATTCAACTGATCTTGTATCAGTATAGTATGAGAGCTAACTCTCGGTTATCCTGAATAGTACCGACAGTAAAAATGAAATAAAAGCGTCACGTATGTCGACATAGTTACATTCGACATTGTTCAGATTAACCATAACTCTGATCTCTTCGCTTGCTGTTGTTCCATTTTAGGCATATACTAGAAGGGATAGTGTTATTGTTTCATTATTACAAATACAAGGTACAAAAGAAAATACAGTTTAAAATGTTTTAAAGTCAATTAACTCACTATTTATTGATAAACAAACTTTACAGAATGCTGATGCTAACAAAATTGATGAAGATCCAAGAATTAAAGTAATATAATGTGCGTAATGAATTGCAACAGTTTTTTAAATGAAACCATTTTCATGTTATGCTTTTTGCAGGTGCCATCAAAGAAAAATTAAGCTTTTCAGAAGTCGGAATGTCGATTATTTGGCCACCTGTTCATCATTCTATTCTCAGCAAACGACGGAATTAAGGAAAAACGTTGAACTCAAAAGCAACACTCAGTAATCTAAGATTAAAAAACATCTATTTTATAAATCATTGATTGACTATTATTTTGTTCTTTCCCTAGATGAATCCATTACAACTACTTCAGTGTCTACACCACAGGTTACCAATTACAACAATAATAAACAACAAGCTGAAGCTAATGAACAAACAAGCTATTTAAGTTAAATTTTACACCCAGGTCAAACAATCAGGCAATAAGATCCTCTACGATCGTACCTCTGATCTTACAAGATCTGTGTCTGATTTTTTGACCTGGGTCCCTAATCCACTCTCCCCCGACGACTCCCCGGGGATTTTTCAGAGGACTCTCTGGGGATTCTTCTAGGGAGAGTGAACCAGGGTTAATGTTAATTGTGTTCATTTTTATGCTTAAAACTCGTTTTGGTTTGTTCTTGTTTTATATTAAACCACTTTTTATTAGGCATGCACCGAACCCGAACTACCCGGGTTCGGTACTACCCGGGTTCGGTCGTACCCGGTATTCGGTCATACCCGGGTTCGGTCATACCCGGGTTCGGTACTACCCGGTATTCGGTTATACCCGGTATTCGGTCATACCCGGGTTCGGTCATACCCGGATTCGGTCATACCCGGGTCCGGTACTACCCGGTATTCGGTACTACCCGGGTTTCATCATATCCAGATTCGGTACTGGAATTCGAGGATCTACTTATTCGTATCCTTCGAAGCATAGAAATGAATAACAAATAGTACCTATAGATCGATAATAATAAATGATTTTATTTCAAAGGTTTATGGTCTTTTCCTCAATGAATCATAGATAATCTTAATTATCAGTAAAGCATACAATTAAATGAGCTTTTATGAATATTTCTCTTGGACTCAGCTACAGGAAATCGTCGAATGGTTTTCCTGATTGAAATGATCCTTCTGATAGTCTAAGTAGGGATGTGAGAATTCGAATACTACCAATACCAATACAATTTAGTATTGTTGATATCGATATTAGCATTATTAGTATTGATATTGTTAGTAGACCAATGGAAAAAATCATACATCTGCATTTCCGGAAAACTTAATAAGAAGAACCATTCGACGATTTCTTGTAGTTGAGTCCAAGATAAATATTAAGAGAAGCTCATTTAACTGTATCCGTTCGTGATAAATGAGATTAACTATGATAGGTTGAGCAAGGTGAAGGATCTTTGATATAATTCATCTTTTATCACCTACTATATATCCATAGGTGCTATTTATTATTCATTTCTATGCTTCAAAGGATACGAATAAGTAGACCAGCGAATCCCAGTACCGAATCTGGGTATGATGAAACCCGGGTAGTACCGGGTACCCGGTATGACCGAACCCGGGTATGACCGAACCCGGGTAGTACCCAAACCAGGTATGACCGAACCCGGGTATAACCGAATACCGGGTATGACCGAATCCGGGTAGTACCGAAACCGGGTATGACCGAACCCGGGTATAACCGAATACCGGGTACGACCGAATACCGGGTAGTACCGAAACCGGGTATGACCGAATCCGGGTACGACCGAATACCGGGTACGACCGAAACGGGTAGTACTGACCCGAACTACCCGGTTTGTACCCGGGTTCGGTGCATGCCTACTTTTTATATGTCATGAAAATATTTTCGGTTTTTGTTTTTCTATTTTAAGGGTGTGGGTTTCGGTTCGGGTATATTCTTCGCCCACACCCAATAATGGTTGAAAGATATCGCTCGAAGTTAGTCATTTTCTTACCCTAATGTTATTGGATAAAAAAAGGCGCGAAAAAGAGAAGAGGGGGGTTAATGATTTTGTTCTGAAAAAGAGAGTTGAATTGTAACTGCTCTCTTGATCGTGTCTCTGTTTTTCTGTTAACAATAAAACAGTTCGTGAGCAAAAGCTAACACTAGTCAAACTTCTTTTGGTCAGCGCAGGAGATACTTGAGAGCCTTGATCAAGAAAGTCATGCGCTATGGACCAAACTTGAGGTCCGCGCATGTCCAGCGCAGAAAAAAAAGTTCGACTAGGGTAACGACTGAGCTAAAAAATACTTGTACTTTGATTTTCATGATTTCTTTCTTTTTCTGACTCAACTTTAATTAATTGGATGTTTACTTGCATCATATTGTACTACACTCCATCAAATGCATACCCTGACCCTACCCTGCAGGGTAGGGTAGGGTATGGTAACTCTGCATATCTCTACAATAAAGTTCCTTGAAAAAATCTATGATGCACACTTAAAAAGTCATAAGCTGAAAGCAATCCTTTCCCTGTTTGAAACATGATCTGTACTTTTTAGTGAGATAATTACACAAGTTTTCATAAAAATGAACGCAAAGAATAAAAATCATTTGATTTATGAAATATCAGAACTCTAAACATCATTTTCATAGTACTTTTAAAAAATTGACTATTTCTAAATCTGATGAGACAGGCATACTTATTTAGTGCATCATCATAAAAAGAATTGTATTGCAAAGAATATGTAAATTAAATATTATTTTTTTTTTGAATAATTTAATTCAAAAACCTAAATAAAGCATGACATAAGATATGTTGCTGATATAATAACATACAGTGAAGACATGAAAACGTCTAGTGTCAAAAGTTTACTGTTGCATGTTTCTTTTATATCACATTAATTTAAATGGAAGAACTAGTCATTTAATGAACGTATTAGAAAGATGTTGTATAAAAAACTTCGATAATTGTATGCAGACATAGAATTGAATGTATTGCTAATTAATGAAAAATTTATTTAACACCGCTTTAAACTACATCTTAATTGATCAACATGAAACATAATTTTAACATAGAATTTCTCTTGCTGTTTTTTTGAAGCACTCACTATTTGTTCATATCGACTTAAACAATGAAGATAATTATATTCATAACTAGATGGTATTCAAGTTTCACTCGAATACGAAATGCGATGCGAAGCTCGAATCGGATCTTCACGAAAAATCTACGATGCAGAGAAATCTTGAATACTTTTTATGTCGACATAATGAACTGCATCACTCAGAAAACTCCATTCTTACTTAGCGATATATTCTTAAAGATCGATTTCGATTTATCGATTAATTATGTCCATGATTCATTATCTTAGATCAGCTGTAAATGAATAGACTATAGTGGCTAACATATGTTCATGACGTCACTTTAATTATCTCTTCGTAAATTTCTTTCATTTTCGTTATTTTGGAACCGCATTTGTGAGTAAACAAAACGTCCGATGAAAAATTAGAAAAAATATTTCTCAAGTTCGATCTCGATAGTTCGATCTCACTCACGTTTCAACGAGTTTTCTACGATTTTTGGTTCTTGAGATCATAGCGACGCAAAACGTCGACTTTTGATGCGTACGTCAAGTAAGTCAAAAATAATAAAAATAAAAATAAAAAAACTCGCGACGGGCTACATAAATGCTTCTGCTTCGCATCGCATTAAAAAAATCCTCGTAGGACTACATAAATGCTATGCTTCGCATCGCATTAAAAAAATAAATGCTTCTACTTCGCATCGCATTAAAAACAACTTTTTCGCTTGGCTTATCTCAAGTGTCACATGTAAACGTTTATAAAGAGAATAAAAATCTGAGTTTTTCATACTTTTGCAAATACTTGAAGCTTCAGCAACGCCATTCAATGTTTGCTTAATATTCATACCAGTATTATTTCATAGTTTACACGTGATTTAACTTTGCCATCGAAATCAGCTGAGCGATAACATAACTGCTTATCGTCATATGTTGAGAACGACCCACTTGTTAATAGGAAAAAAAAGTAAAAAATCGATCAGATAAAATAACAATGCTTTATTAAACGATATAGAAACAAAATTCCCTCACGTTTTGTGTATGTTACTAAAAAGGCATCACTATGAAAGAAAAATGTAATCAATCATATGTCGAAGGCAAGGAGAGTAGCTTGAGTCTTCCATAACAGAAATCTTTCGTGAACAGAACTGTAATGATATATATATATATTTCAATTGGTAGATAATTCTATCATAATTGATTGAAATCAATATCTATTTCATTAATATAAATATTCTTCAGTATGAATAACCGGTTGAGATAAAACAGAAATTAAGAAGGCAACAAAAAAGGCATGTGACGATAAAATATTGCATCATTTAAAGGTAAATCAAGTTTCGATTTATTCAATATTAGCTCTTCTAAACATTGATAAGCAATTGGATCAGCATTTAAATGAAATTTATTTGCAAATAATTCATGGCGATTCAGCAGATTTGGTAAATCAAATATACCAAATACACAAATACCACGTATTATACGTCCATAACAATTTTGTTCGCCCCAATTTACAAAACGAGCTGTCCAATTGGTTGGATCACTTTTTGCTACAATACAAAATGAACAAACAAAACTCCATTTATGGATTCTAATTGTGATTGGAACTATATTCAAATATCTTTTGTTCTCATACCGACAAAAATAAAAACACTGTATAATTCGCAGCATGGTCCTAATATCTGCTGTATAATAAATCAATACATCTCAAGTCTTCATAATACTTTGTGGGTTTCTTTTTGAATCATTTTAATCAGTGATGACTGTTGATGTAGACATTGTATTTGAAAAAGAAAGAATGTCTAGACCAGTGCGTGTAATCCAATATTACATCATTATCTGAACATAGATTTGACTTATATCGAACGGCACAAATTCTGGATCGTTATTTGTGCTGCTGTTCACACTTTATTTAGGTAGTCGCATAGCTTAGAAAAATCTACATATATCTCTTGTTTCGATGAGTTGATTTAAATGATCATCTAATAAAATGAACTGCGATAGTTACTTTTATCGAAGTTTTAATTCTTAGCTGCAATTCACCATAATTACCTCGCTAGAGTAATATTTAAATCTAAAGAACAATTATGATACAACAATGAACTATGCTAAACTAGAGAGATATGTACTAACCCCCCCCCCCCCCCCCATCCCAGAGAAATATCATTGAAATAATGACTCGCTTACAAGGGGCAAACAGATGAAATCAGACTTTTCTTATTTTCTTGATTTTAAATCAATTGATCTAAAATTAGAAAAACTCAAAAAAAAATCACCAATAAATTAAAAGTTTTAAAAACTAAAAAAATTAAATAAACTTAAAATTCAGAAAAAACAATTAAAAGAATCAAAATTTTAACAAACTATAGAATTCAAAACAATCTGTTTCAAGTTGTTTCAGTCAAAATTGATATTTTGGACAACATACACTAAAAATTTTATCACTTATGTTAGAGCGGGCCATTGATTCTTTTTTTCGATTCTTTTATTTTTTTGAAACTTGTGTACGAAAGTCGCACTAGTAGCTCTCGCATAATAGAAGCTTCAGGGGGCTTCTATCATGGGGAGGGGGGGGGGG